TTCAAAATGAAATATAAGAAGAAATAAGACTTACCCCCCATCGAAATAGCCATTGTCTTCAACCCCTAATAACACACCCCACCAAGACCGTTCAATCAACAAATGCATATCATCGTTGAGTTTGTATATGTCAGCGTAAAACCCTTGGCTCCGTTCATGTAGATAAAAATCAACTGCGGCCTTAGCCCAAAGGGTATTATCCATAATTGTTTCCGGTAGTTGTTTCCTCTCCACTTCATCTGCCGGAATGGTACTGGTCGGTAACTTATACGAAAGCCAACAGTCATCCATCATGTCTGGCACGTGAGGGGGTTTCTCAATAATTCAATATATTACGCCATGTGAATCGGGCTCTAGAATATTGGGAGGGACCTCTTCAATGATGACAGTGGCCTCTTGAACGGTGAGAGGGGACTCTTGAGGGATGATAGGGGCCTCTTGAACGATAGGGGAGGCCTCTTGAACGATGACATGTGAGTCGGGCTTTTTCTTACGGATTCTTTGCACTATTGGGGTGAACGGAGACGTAATGGCATGTGCACGCCGTCTGATGCGTGAACTCCGTCTTGCAAGAAAAACCCGACGTAGAGCATCTACCTTAACGGGCTGCTAAAAATAAATTAATACATAAATCAGTAAATAAACAGACATGATATTAAACAGTGAAAATAAAGACAAATATATTTCAAACTTGCACGGTATTCACCCAAGTCATTATTCTATCATTGTTCACAAAATGCATCAGATAACATTCCAGAAGTAATCACTTATATAAACATTTAAAAGGACAACATATAGGTTTAGTGTAGGTTCAATGACAACATAAAGAGTAGTAGTTTATTCTTGAAACTTAAATTTACAACACTGTGAAGTTAGTATTTGTCTTTGTCTTTTGGTTGAAGTAATGCAATTCATTCAAGTTTCAATTTGCAGAAGAAGAATAGAATCTGAAACTTAAAATTGCAACACGAATGACTATCGCAACGCGAAAATGACTATCGCAAAACGAAAATGACTATCGCAACGCGAATTTGACTATCGCAACGAATGAAATTACGAGTAAACAAATACTAACTTCACAGGGTTAAAGAATAAATAGTTTAGCAGTATTGGTAGCAACCGAATGAATTTACTAAGCAATCTAAGTGAAATGGTTAATCTAAGTGAAATGGTTAATCTAAGTGAAATTACGAGTAAATTTATCATCAAGTTAAATATGAAAAATATTAAACTTACCTCGTTGCGTAGAGTATGAACCTCATTCTGCAACGATGCTGCCATCTCACGTAGAGCGGCTACCTCACCACGTAAAGTAGACACCTCAACACACCATGCACCATTGTCATCGCGTAAAGTACCGACCTTCTCACGCAAGGCATTGACCTCATCACGTAACTCCCCTAACTCATCCCGTGAAGGTGGAGGTGGAGAACAGGGAGATAAACGTCGTGGCATCTTTGTCGGTCGCCTATCATGAGGTGATGGTGGAGAAGAGGCTCGATGATGTGACAGAATAGGTGATGGCTCTCGTTGTGGAGGTGTATAGTCGGGTTGATCAGGTGATGGCTCTGGGTAAGGTGATGGCTCTCGAAGTGGAGGTTGCTTATCATCCGTGCCATCAAAAAAATGCTTACTAGCTTGCCACCAATCAGTGGCAAGCTCAGCTTCCGTGGGTGTCAGCCTATGTAATGGAGTGTTGGCCTCCTAACAATATAAAAGCTCAAACAAAGTTAAACGTGTACTAGTAATAACTTGTTTATAAACATACGGTAGTATTTGTGTTAACTTACATTATTTATTGTCGTATACGGTAGTAAATCTTCCCATTGTTGCAAGGTCTGTTTCCTCTTCCAGGAAATAACCCTAGGAATATCATTAGAAGTTTTTAATGCATATGTCTGCATGGCGGGAAAGGCCTCAAATATCCAAATCTACAAACAATATAATAACAAACATTAGTAATTGTTAAATAATTAATTATAATTTTGGAAACATTATATAAAAATTCTTACCTTAAAGGCCCAAATAAAGCATGACAAAGTGTATTTGGAACCATCGCCACGCAAACTTTTTCGATCATCAAAGGCAAACGACAACTTATTCCATGTAGCTTTCCATAGATACGAACCACACGGAAATAGGTTCCATGCTTTTAGGTCCTCTACCAATTTAATTAGATCATTAGGAATAGGTTGTCTGGCCTCTCTGCCTAAAAAGCTGGCATGCAAAAGTATTAGAAGGCATACTCGGACAACATCGACGTCATCCATCCGAGTAAAACCATCTTTCTTATTCAATAATCTCGTCAAGTCTTCCACGTGTAAATTCGGCTTCTCCATTGACAGCTCATGAAAAACTCGGGATAACCACGATAGGCGGGTAATATGTCTAGTGTACCGACCTACATCATCGTGTCCGAAGCGTAGACCGGTGATTAAGCAAAACTTCTCCCGCCCAAAACACGTATACGCCGGTGGAAAATCAAACCATATCTCTTCATCACGATGTTGTATAGTCTCTGGTAGATCGCTAGTCATGGTTTGAAGAAACAGATGGGTCAACATAGCATCTCCACCCGGATGTTGTACTTTCAGCCATGGCCCGAAGCAAGTATCCTCAAATATTTTTCTTTGTGCAGGTGAAAGCTTCGACGTAATTGTTTTGGCCAGGCTTACTTTATTTCTTAAGGTCAATTGAGTCGAATAAAAGTTCTACAAAAATAATAAACATACCAAGTTAGATATACCAAAAACTACACTGTGAAGATATACCAAGAACAATAAACATAAAGAGTAGTAGTTTATTCTTCAAACTTAAATTTGCAACACTGTGAATTTAGTATTTGTCTTTGTTTTTTTGTTGAAGTAATGCAATTCATTTAAGTTTCAATTTACAGAAGAAGAATAGTTTCTGAAACTTAAAATCGCAACACGAAAATGAAAATCGCAACACGAAAATGACTATCGCAACGCGAAACTAAAATCGCATTGCGATTCTGTCGTTGCGATTCTCAGTTTCAAATACTAAAATTGAAACTTGAATGGATTGCATTACTTCAACCAAAAGACAAAACAAAGACAAATACTAAATTCACAGGGTTTAAATACTAAACAGTTTAGCAGTATTGGCAGCAATCGAATGAATTTAATAAGCAATCTAAATGAAATGGTTAATCTATTATTGAAATTACCATTAAACTTATCATCAATTTCAATATGAAAAACCTAATAATAATGCAAAATTTTCAAAATAAAAATAATTAAAAAAACTAACCCTCGGTGGTTGATTTGGTTGATTTTCCATTTCTGACCGTGAATGATTGTGAGGGTGGCTCTGAGAGATGGAGATAGACGGATTTCGTCGGAGATGGTGACTGATTTCGTTAGAGATGGGGACGGATGTCGCCTTAGAGAGTGAGAGATGGAGATGAGATTGAGTTGTGATTTAGGGTTTTAGGTTATGAGTTGCGATTACGGGATATACTGTGGACGGTTCAGTGTTCCGATATATTAATATTCGTGTTTGGAATTTGAAAAAAAAATACGCATTGCGATAATAATGGCGCTTTGAAAATCCCATTGCGATAGTCAGCATCGCGTTGTGATAGTCAGCATCGCGTTGCGATAGTCAGAATCGCGTTGCGATAGTCATAATCGCATTGCGATTTATATATTCGCATTGTGATAGTCAGAAAATCGCAACGCGAATTTGGAAAATCGCAATGCGATAGTCAGAATCGCGTTGCGAATCTGGAAACTGATTTGCGATACCGAAGATCGCGTTGCGAATTATCGATCGCATTGCGATTTAGTTGGTCATTTTGGCAAATCCAAAAATAGTTGATTAAATCGTATATTATAAGGCATTTTGGGTCACTGAGGTTATTTTATCTTTTGGATAATGACGTGTGATAGTAAGAGAGTGACTGATCAATGTGAATCCAACAATAGAAGGGATGATCAATGGTGGCTAATTCGACGAGGATATATGAGATTTAAAGATTTGATATAAAATATTTAGGGTCGTTTGGTTCACGACATACATCATTATCGGGAGAATGGAATCCTCATTCTCCCGTTTGGTTGGCTGGTAATTTTATTTTCGGTAATCTTTTATTACCAATAGTGAATTTTTTGGGTGTATTACCGGGAATGTGATTATCCCATTCCCTTAGGTATTGTTGGATTATCGGCGTTTTAGACTAAAATGCCCTTAATTTTTTTTTCAAAATTATTCTTTTTCTGTCATTGAATAATAAAAATTCTACGAATGTTAAATTACAAATTTATCCTTAAATTATTTTAGATTTACAAAAAAATCCATAATTATAATTTTATTTGAAGTTCAGGGGTTAAAATAAAATTTTACCCTTTCATTAAACCTATTTATCTTATCAATTTTGTAAAAAAAATATAAATTTTTAGAATTTAAATTTTTTAAATAAAATATATAAATTAATTATAATAATATTATAGTAGAATTCAACTTGTTAAAAAACAAATATATAATAAGGACAATTTAATAAAATATACATTCCAATAATTTTTTATTCCTTGAACCAAACACAAAATACAACATTCATTGATAATCTTTTATTCCCATTGGTAATCTTACATTCCTTGAACCAAACGCACCCTTAAGGGAATTCGGATAATTTGTAAATTTTAGGGGTTTAAAAAAGTAATACTTTTAGTTTGTTTAAAATAAAATTAAAAACATAAGTAACATATCAAGCTTTCATTGAATATAGATATTTAATAGTCATTAATAACGACCTTAAATGATAATTTTAGTAACGTTAAACATCCATTTTAACTAAAAGACTTTTAAAATACCTAATATCAATAAGAGATATTATTCATGCTCTTATTTTTCAGTTAAACTAATTTATTAATAAATGAAAAAAACAAACACGAATTCAAACCACAATAAACAATATTAGAGTGAAACATAACATAAAACAAGCTGATAATAAGATTGTATATGATATTGCAGTCCACATTTTACAGGCAAATAAGAATGGGACAAGGAGAGTATAAGTAACACGTGTATGGGAAGAAGAGAAGGTCCAATTATTTGATGTGCTGTTTGAACCTAGTAATTGCAAACATAAAAGACTTAAAACCTAGAGAGGAACTGCATTTGCTTGAGAAGAGGAGCCAGGGTTTCCATTAGCTTCTCACAGGGATGGTTGTGAATGCCTTCATATGTCGTCACCAGCATGCTGGTGTCCTTGGAAAGCCTTTGTATCTGTTTCTTCACATCGCATGTGTGATGCGTGCACCGGTAGTAGCTCCTTCATTCATTAAAATCAATTTCTATAACCTAACCAACCAAATATTCAAATATACTGCATAGTGGAAATTCAAATATACCATAACCATGAATATATATGCATACTATCAACACAATATGTATATGAGGATTCAGACGAAGAGAATGATAATATGGTGGGTGAGTAGATAGATGTGAAAGAAATCCGATCATGTTAGATTGGATGAATATATGATATTATTTTAAAATATTACATCATATTTTAAAATACTAGTATATCATCAATTAAATTAATTTTATAAACTTAACATTTTTCAATTATAAAAAGTCATTTTACTTATTTTTCAATGTATATAAACCTTTTTGTGCTCATTTTAAAATTATAGACCAAAATACATTTCACACTATAATATATATATATATATATAAGGAATTGTACGATATGTTTATAAATTTCAAAAATAAATTAACCGGGTTTAACTAAATAATTTTTACTTGACGCACTACTATAATTTATAGAGGGCTAATGATCTATAAGATGTCATCTCTTTAAGATTTTCTTAAAAGTCAAATGGGTTAATATAATAACTCAAATATTGGTACTTAATAAATTGAAACAATCTAGGTTAATATCCTTAAATAACATAAAAATAAAATATAAATAAACTTTCATTTATATGACATTTATTAGGTTCAAACGACAAATTACTAAAAAAATATTGAAATTTTCTTTGTGATTGAAGTGTCATCTTATATTCATTAACAATTTATATAATATTAATACATTAAATAAAATATATATTGTCTTTATATTTGATATAATAATAACATATATTTTTATGCAGGTGCATTAAACTATATGATAGCATATCATTCAAAAATTTCATAATTAAATTAATATTATTTTATTATAATAATATATTATCATGTAATTCATTAATAATACATAATGTTATATAAAACATCAAATATTAGCTCGTAAAAATCATTGTGTTCCTAATTAAGTTGATAAATGAATTCCTCGTTTCAATTCAGAAAATGGAGTAGCACATAAATGCTTATAACCTAATTAGGTATAATACATTCGATCTTAATTAAGTGTGTATATAGATAAATAAGCATACAAATACACGCATTAAAAGTTAAGAACACAGTGTTACGAATTAACATGCATGCCATGCAACGTACAGATAAGAGATACAAACCTTGGATATATGCTATTCTTAACAGATTTCTGACCATACTTTCTCCACCTGTAACCATCGTCCAAAATGTCATCTTCACTCCTGGTTTGGAAAGCAAATCTGGGCCGGCTTGTCTTTTTCATCCTACTACTACCTTTCCTCTTATGACCTTTATCATCCTGTTGAATTTGATAACCGCCTCCATTTTCAGACATCATAGTACTAGAACCACTCCCAATCATTACCTGGTTCTCCTGTCCTAGACCAGAGAGGAGGCTGATCCAATCGATATCGGGGAGAATATTCTGACGACTTTCCAAAGGAGGGTTCAACGAGGAAGATGGAAAGAGGAAAGGAACGTTAAGGGGTGATAGTAAGGGCGGCGGCGGCAGGAGAGGCGGCGGGGTACTTTCATGGCCATCCATGTGTGGATGAAGGGTTCCGGGAGAGAATATGGAAAGAGAAAGGAAGTGAGAATGATGAAGAAAAGAGGGGAAGAAAGTGGTGGAAGGTAAAGAGGTTGGACTGTCGAAGAGAGAGATAAGAGGGAGGGTGTTTTAATTCCTTTCTCTTGCAACCTTGGTGAACCCAACAATATCTCAACTACTTCTGTTCAACTGCTTCTGGTCGTCAAGTAATAGGCGAGACACGTTAACTTCAAAGCATGCGATGAACTCATATATGTATATATAATTCCTCGATAATTAATTCAAGTGTTAACTCGGAGCTCCATTTTCCTTTTCCTCTCATGTTTTGTGTAGTTTGGTCACTCACTGTAGATGACAGTGAAAACTTGTATATTAACATTCTATCCAGTAGGTCGGCTTCTTTGAGAGCCACAGTCGGCCAATTGAATAGACTTCATGTTCAAGTTCCACAATAACTTCGAGTTAATGTATGTTATTGTCAAAGAAGGATACAAAATTTTATATTAAAGACTGAACTTATAAAATTTTAGAAGATAAAGATAAATTATTAATAATATATATATATATATTATGATAATTTAAAATTCGTACGAAAGGGTATTTTCCACTCACCTTTCAATCTATCGGGCGTGCCTATGCCTGGGAAGGAGAGTCCTGATTAGGTCACCCATTAATTTCCAAAAACTTGACTCCTTGCTCTAATGTTCTATCGTCTTATGTCAGCTTGAATTTTTGCCAAAAACTTCCAACTTCGCTTAATTAAATTACCATGAACAACTCTCTAGTCTTAATGAAATTGAACACCTATCACCTCTGTGACTTGAAAAGGCCATGGTACGAGGAATGAAACTCGGAACACATTTCTTTATCTCTATAAAACCTAATTTAATGTAGGTCTATTTTACTTAATAAAATTTAAACAAATAAAAGCTTTATTACAAAATAACTTTTAATATATATATTTTTTAACTTCAAATACTTAAATTACTGCTAAAATTAGAAGAATGATGTATTGGAGGCGGGAAAATAGGGAAATGGGGTTGGTGAAGAGATATAGAAAATGGGTGAACTTGATCGAGGACGAACTCATTGAGTTGGTTTTGCTACTTGGGACACATGGTGTTTTTCCAAATACAAATTGGTTAGTCCTTTTGATTTCTAAGTTATGTAGAAGTGGGAAACTCAACCAAGCTTGCAATTTGTTGCATAAACCGCTGACACTGCAAGCGCCTCTTGAAGATCCTCCTTTCAATGCACTTTTGATCGGTATAGGGGGGCGTAGAGAAGTTAAAGGAATGATTCCTTGAGCAACATCAGGAGTTCGAATCATAAGGTTTGTGAATGTAAACAAATTGGATTGGGATGGTCATCCTCTTAATGTGCCTCTGCAAAATACGATTTGAAATAGTCTATCAATGGATCAGATAATCGCGGTTAAACCAAAAAAAAAAAGTTGACTGAAATGAAGGAGAGTGATATTAAGCAGATGTTGTAACTTCGGGATTCTTATTAAACAATTATGTAAGTGGCTTAGTACTGGCGATGCAATGGAGGTGTACAACAAAATCAGTGAAGGAAGAGGGAATGATGATCTTTCAATTGAGGCCGATGTTGTATATAATACTTTGATTGATGGACTTTGTAAAGTAGAGAGAGTTGAAGAAGCGCTGCAGTTGATGGAACAGATGAAGTCCACAAAGGGTTTGGCTCCTGATATGGTTACTTATACTTGCTTGATCAATGGATTTTGTAAAGTTGGAGAGATTGAGAGAGGGAAGGAGCTGTTTGATCGGATGATTGAAGAAGTGGTGTTGCCTGATGTTGTATCTCTTAATATATTGGTGGATGGCATGTGCAAACATGAGAGGATCAATAGTGCAATTGTGCTCTTCAATGACATGCAGGGGAATTGGGAAAAGAACTAAAGGGCAATGCGGTTACTTATACATTGATTGCTTATTTTTGCATAAGTGGGAATTCTGGTGCTGGTGAATTGGAAAAAATTAAGAGCTCCAAACAAGGAACAAGGTTTCTACCTCGACTACATAAAGTGACTGCAAGATGAAGGTCGTGTTATCGGATTATTTAGTGCGATGAATTGATCATAATGGTCGGGACATGGAAGAAAACAGAAAATTGCTCTGGTTTTTTGCAGCCTGCAGTTTTTGTTTTTGTTAATTTAATAATTTATATTATTTTATCTGTAACTGAGAAATCAAGAACCTATACAAGAAAGGTGATCGAAGAGGTAATGATCCTCTGATAAATTAATGACAATTTCTCACTTCAGTTGTATCAGAAAAATACTAAAAAAAAAAGGTTCCTAGAAATAATACTTCTCCCAACTCTGTAGCTAACTTTACCAGAAACAGGAAACTATTTTCCTCGACTCGTTACCGGAATCCCAGATCCTAGCAAAAGGTTATAATCCAATTCCCTCAACCTTTTGAAATGTATGGCATATCAAAAGCAATGTTCCAGGGCCATTTCTAAATGCCACCGGCGGCAGTAGCTGCATGTCTACCAATCCAAGGTAGGTCAACACTCGGCTGTAAACGATCAGAAAAGCAATTTCCGGTGACCATGTCGGCGATTCCTTCTAAACCCTCGAAGAAATCATCACTCACCGCCGTGTCCGACATCCAGGGATCATCTTCCCCTTCCCTTTCGTCTTCAACCAAATCCTCTCTGCTCTCAACCTTTGTACTGCTTTGAACCACAAGCTCTTCCTCCACGGAGGTCGTCAGAGACGAGCTGCTGGCGGGTTTGACGGAATCTCCTGCGGTGACTGTTTCTGGGTTCCAAGGCTTCTGACGAGTGCTTACGGCGAGTGAATTGCGGTGCGCTGGAGCAGGGTGGTTGTGCTCAGCTGTGTATGTGACTATGAACATAGACGGGTTGGATCTGTTTCGTTCCACTTGTTTTCTCGCCAGACATCCCTTTGAAGTGCTACATCTGTAATATCCCCTGTTGTTTCATCAAAGAGACAAAGAACCAAAGCTTCAATGAAAATATCCAATCAAAAAGACCAAAAACATGAAAAGAGACAAATCCACATGATTTCTTTTTACCTTGGATAAGGGGAGCCTTTGATGGGTTTCTGACCATATTTTCTCCATGCCCACACATCTGAAGACAGCCCTTCTGCTGGGACTTGGCAAACCTTTTTTAGCTGATTCTTTCTGCTAAAAAGGAAAATTAAACAACTTTAATAAGATGGGGGAAAAAACTGGGAAATTTCCGAGATGGGTTTCCAAAAACATTTACTTTTTAGTTTTTAAATTACCTTCTTTTAGATCGAGAATTATGGGAATTGGCTGTTGCAGCTTTTTCACTGGCTGCAGTAATAACTCTAGTAGCAGAGCCAGCGTGAGACTGCTTCCGTTGTTGCTGTTGTTCTTTGGACAAGCTGATAGAAGAAAACGAAGATAAAGGTGCGCTCTCTGGGGAAAGTGGATGAGATTTGGGGAAGAAAGACTTGTAAAGCTCATGGAGATCTTCCATGGAACTTCTAGCTTCAATTTGATTCGAAGACAACAAAGCATGAGCCTGAAAAGCTTTTTCTTGACCACCAAACGAAGACAAACAAGACTGAGGACACAAGTCCGCCTTGAAATAACCAGTTGATGCAGCGCCGGTGCTGGTTGATGCAAAGGCGGCGCAACCTCTGACCACCGCATGCAAATCCCAATCAACATCCATTAGACCAATATCGTTTTTCTCCCTATATCTGAATCTGCAGCTCAGCCGATATCTCCGCCGAGAAACTGTTGGAGAAAAACTGAGAGAAAAAGAAGACAAAACAAGGCGCTGACTTTTTAAGGAGAAAGGAAAAAAATAATATGGAGATTCTATCAGAGTGGGGTTTCTTCAATTATATAATAATTAAGATACAAAAGGGAGGGAGAGAGAGGTGGTATTTTTGGTTAGCGGAATTGGGAATCTCAAAGCTTTTTATCTTGTCATTTTCCCTTTTTAAAACCACTACTGGTTTTGGTGTTGACTTCTGTACGATATCAATGGAGAATTTGATTGATTTGAAGATAAAGTCAAAACGGCGTGTCGTCTCTTGTGTTTTTTTAATAAAATACACTAAAGATTTATTATAATAGAAAATCATATCAATATCGTAATTTTTTAGCTTGTATAAATTGTAACTAAAAATATTATCTTTTTCGTAATATTTATATTTTCAATTGTATACTCAAAATCTTTCGTAATATATTTTATTATTATAATCTAAAATATTATAAATTTATATAACATTTTAAGTTGAATATTATAATATTTTAACTTGAATTCATATTTAATGAACATTAAATTAGACTGTCACATAATAAAATTATCCTCCTTTTATAATTGAGTGGAGTGCAAATTATACAGTTAAATTAGACTATCCCACAACAAAATTATCCTCCTTTTATTTCTTAAGTTATCCTCCTTTCATATTTAAAAATTATTTCTTAAATGATATTTATTTTTATTAATTTTAAAATTATATTTATTATCAATTGAATATGTCACATAAAATAGAAATAATTTAATTAATTATGTCTTTTTTTTGTACATAAAAGTTTAGGTTATGGGTATTCCCCTGGTCCAAGGTCAGGGCGTACCTAAAACCCAATTGGAATTTACATATTGTCCATCAAGAGTGACTGTAGTAGGATTCGAATTTGACTTTACAAGCTCAAATTCCTGAATCCCAATAACTTGTGTCAACATGTTGACATTAATTATATCTTTTAAAAAGATATTTGATCAAACATTTTTCATAAATTAAATGTTAAATATGTTATAATGATGACGATTAGAAATACATAATATTATCTAATGTTTCTTTAAATATGTTTTCATTTGATCAAAGGTACTCTTGAAATATGTTCAATTATTGTAAAAAAACAATGTTTAATTGTATATATCTTTATTTAGCTAACATGTCTATCTAACAAAAGATATTATTTTAAAAATTAATTGCAAATGAGTTTCAATTTTAAAAATATTTTTTGAGATACTATTATTTTAGTGAAAATAAGATAATTTTAAAATTTAAACTTAATTTAAATATACGAGAATGAAAGTCACTATCACTTGAATTTTTTTGACAAGCACTATCACTTTTTAAGCATTGTTATTATATTTACTTCTAATTAGAATGAAAAAAATATACTCAAATCTATTTGATATTAATTATTTTTATTAATATATTTAAAAAATCAAGAATTCAAGGATGTTCAAGTGTATAAAAAGTATTTTTTATATGTTCGCACGAGAACAGCCCTTTCCCCGCTCGTGACTGACACGTGGAGAGTATCACTATTGTGAGCCTTTATTCTTTTACTAAAGAAAACATATTTCTCTTTCTCCACTCACATTCCATTCCCATTGGTGGATTCCCACTTGACTCAGCGAAAACGAATAAGATGCCAACAGCATCAATCTCGGATGTCCACGTGTTCGTAACCAATTGAGATTTGACTAGTCTCCTTCATCGACGGTTGAAAATGGAAGCTTGATTGCTCAAGTTAACACACGAGAAGATCCTGGTTAGCGCGTGGCGGTGAAATGAGATAAGGTGAGTTGGCATTGACAAATAAGAAGCTCCGAGATTTTGTTGGTGGGCCCATATTCTTTTTCTTTTTTTCTTCTTCTTATTTTTAATCGTTACAACTGGCGTGGAGTGGCTCGTGAGTTTAAATTGTAACCCGTTTGTTTTTTTTTTTTTTTTTTGGTTTCAAGAGAATCCTATGCTATGAGTTGTGATGGATGATCGGACGGTCGATGATGGTTGTAAATGGTTGATGAAATAGGTGACTGTAAGAAAAATGTTCCTTTACGGCTTCCCTTTCTTGTTTTTCTTTAGATTTTGTTTGGTGGTCGGCCTGTGAGCATGTTTTTCTTGCAGGTCTCAGTTGCTGCAGGCAAAGCTACTTGACAATGGCGATGATGGCGTTCTTACGCTCCTTTCGTTTGAGGTACTTCCCATTTGGTTTGTGCCAAGTACCCTCATTGTCATTTGAGTTGGCTCTACCATTAGAAAAATAATGGTTTAATTGAATAAAATTGATGCTATTTATAATAAATTATGTCACTTAGTGAATAGACTTATTATAATAAGCCATGTCACTTGGTGAATGGACTTAATTTTTAGTTGTATCCATTCAATTATGCTTATTAACTTTTCAACAATTCTTTTTATAAAATTTTTTATCTATTCATCAAAAGATCCTAACCTTTTGATTCATATCCCCTCACCTATAAATAGGTTAGTTAATGCACAATTTTAGACACAACATAAGTTGCAACACAAAAGTTCAGAACTTTGGAATAGGAAACACTTAGAAAATTCCTTTTAAATTTGTTCTTTCCGAAGATAGAGAAATGTAAGATTGTGTTCGACTGATCACTACGGTTATACTTACTGTTGTGATCGTTTGTTGTTGTATCCTGGGAGACCGACGTCCAACGTTACTTAAAGCACCTAGGAGACAACGAATTTGTATTCAAGAAACTGTTCATACATGCCTCAACAATATATCGTTCTTCGATTTATTTTATTCTACTCATCTGATTCAGTATCTAAATATGAGTAAACCAATCTCTTACCTTTACTTTAAGCTTTACTTATTTTGCTTTGTTTGATTATATAATAATATTTATTATTATTATTTTTTATATAGGATTAACCATTTTCTAACAATCTTAAGACAGATTATGATATTTTTTATTATAATCCGAAACGCACAAGCAAATTACTTTTGAGTTTAAGATCAAACATATTACCGGTACATACGAAGAATCAAACGATGACGTTTGAGTAGACCGTGTATGAATGATACCCAAAAAAAAAGAATATTGGAGACTATTTGTAGGTTCGAATACAACTTGCAGATTCCAAAAGGAAAATTGCATGTCATTAGGAGGAATCACACCAAAGCGAAATTTCCAAACTATTTGTCGTTTTGATTTGGAGATCGAATATACAATGGTGTGTGTGTACTGCTTTTTCCTTATTGATTAATACTTTATCTAGGCAATTGTTGCCTTCCATTAATGAAATTATTTCTTGAAAAGAGAATTAGAGGTTTATTAGAGATTGAGTGAACATTCCAAATGAATTTACGTTAAGAAAAAATTGCCTACTAACTTTTGTGCAGTAAAGAACTTTTATTTTGATTTGCCTATAAGCCATTCACTGCACGTTTATTTTGATTTGTCTATATCTAGTAGAGAAATTGAGAATGGAAAGGAGGCAGTAGAACAAATGACAAAAAGTTCAATCTGCAATTCTAGAAATTGGATAAGGATTACGTTGTATCAAGCGTGAAAAGGTACGACTTGCGCACCAAGCCTTATTGGATTATAATGTTCTTTGTTGGATTAAATTTCTTCAATTCAAGTTTAGCATTAGCCTTGTCCTTTGTGGTTGTGTTTCGCTTTAACCCGAAGGTTTATTGTTAAATTCTAGTTGGGAATATTAGAATTTCGATCAAGAAATTGAAAAGATATGTGTAATCATTCAATATTTCTTTTATAATATTTATACATTGAGATTACTATTTTTTTCGGATTTTATTAAATTCCCACCGATCAATAGAAGTTAGTTCTGTTTCGAGAATTAATTTATTAAATTCTCATCGTTCAACAGAAATTGATTATGTTTCATGTTTTAATCCCATTGTCCAACAGAAGTTGGTTTGTTTCGGATTTTAGTTTTACTAAATCTTGACCTTTAATAGATTCAACAAAGATATTGTTGATTGTGAATTTCTGTTTCGGGATTTTAATTTTACAAAATTCTCGTCGTTTAACATAAATTACTCAATTGTTGGATTTTAGTTTTGACTAAAATTCATAGCGATAAATAAGGTACCGAACAAAATTATGATATGTCTATGGAAAAAAATCGGGCCTATAATTATGTTTCAGGATTTTAATCCTGTTGTTCAACAAAATTTATTTGATTTATTGTTCATAATATAAATCGTTTAGAGGTAACAACATTGTTACAAATTTTGTTTTAGAATTTTAATTTCTAATTAAATTTTGTTGTTTAACAGAAACAAATGGTACAATAAACTGAATTAACTTTCAATTTATTGTTGGAATATTTACAAATTATGGTTACATGTTTTAAACGAAACAATGGTAACCCCACTGATTCACCTAACTCGTGATTTGAAATGTTGATTCATATTTTGACTTTGAATGAAATTCAACGATGTCAATGTTTGTGAGCCACAACGAGAAGCATGTGAAATTCATGGATATAATTTCAAGACATAAGATGTTATAATTAATCATGTTGAATATGATCAAATATAGGATGATTCTTCTATTCATAGAGAGGATGAGATAGACATTGTTGTCATTAAAGCTTGAAATCATTCTAAGTTTCTATGTCGGAATTACATCTTGAATGGATTGTCAGATACACCATATTATGAATGACATTTAGCCATGTCCGGAGTTGTCATAAAACATGTGAAGGAAGCTATTTTATAATCAAATTACCTTTAAATAAGGTAACTTACAAGAAAATAGGTGAAACATCATATGAGTTATGAAAATGTAAAAAAAAAATTCCTACAATTACATCAAAGTGTGGGGTGCCTTGTATAAGTATAATGGTAAATCGAGACACATACGTCGTCGACATAATATCAGTAAACAATTGATCTCAACTAGAGTTATCTATATTGATTTTGTAAGATCAAAAAATAACATTGTGGATCCGTTAAACGATGAGTTGAATCGAGATCAAACTGATAAACATCGAAAGGAATGTGACTAAAGCCTATTAATATTTAAGGCGCC